GTTTCGTTGCTAGAGGATTTTATTGCTAACAAAGATACGATACCGGTAATTCGTTGAGTAATATCCATAATTGCCGTTTTATTACCTACATTCATACGAGATCCCTGATCATTAACTAATTCATTAATTTTTGCCAAGTACTCGGTAGCCTGTGAGACTAACTCGCAGTAATTGTATTCCCCACAGTTATCACGACAGTTAAGAGACGAAACATTTCCACTTAAATCCGAATTATTCATTCGTTTACTTCTATTGTCTTTCGGCGAGAAATCCGTAGGTGACATTTCGTTAAATGTCCTTTTCCCGGTTGGTGTTAGAAATTCACTTGTACCGCTGGGATCCGGTAACTCGCTAACGACCGACATAGCCAAATAAAGACTCACCAAACAACAATTTCAAGAAGAACAAGTTGAAAAATAAACAACACGCAAAAAAAAATCAATATAAACAAAGGATACCTCCTACCCACTTTTAGAAAGAAAATAAATTTACTCACCAATAGTCGTAATAAAATAATTCAGCACTATATTTCTGTTTAAAAAACAATAAAAACTTACTGATATTCTTTAAAACACTATATACAACCTTTAGCCGCCCGCAAACCGGGAACTAGTCGCAGAAAAACACAGAAAACAATATTTAAATTGTTAGCATATGAAGTCACACGTTAGTCGCACAGTGCCGCGAAGGGAAGCGTAACAAAAACAAATAAATCATTTCCTCAAAAACGTAATATATTTTCAACTACCGATATTTATACCGATGCCAATGGCCACTCGATGGCATCTCAATAGCGTGTCAGTGGTATGACACTGGCTTGGCGTAAACATAAAATAGCAGAATTGAGGCCCTGTAAAATAGACAACATGCAATGACGCATACAACATTTCCACTGCGTAGCTGACTCATACGTAATTATTTTTTCTTAATTTTTGTATGTTTTTCTGATAATCATATTTGTGACCCTGTTATATTGTAATGGCTCACTACGCATGTTGGGTAAACTGCCGTGTAGTGAGCAGTTGACTTAATAAATAAATAAATACGAGTATACACTGGCTAGGCCTTTTAAAATCATGCCAGACTAATGTAACGTATCTTTCCCCCTTAGGGGTCACAAGGGCAGGGTTATACCTGTCAGGATAGTTGAGGATTAAAAAAAAAAGTCGGCTGTGGTGTCCCACTACCTAATATTTATTTCCATTATCTAATACATAAACCATATCTAATACACTATGTAGCTTGAGAATACAACAAAAAAAGACCTAAGGTCCGTAACCACCTCTCTGAATCATCATCATCAACAGCCTTTAGTAGTCCACTGCTGGACATAGGCCTCTCCTTAGGAAGGAGGTTTTGGCCTACTATACCACGCTGGCCAGACGGGTTGGTATAGGGTTTGTTTCAAGTTTTCCTTCTCTCTGCAGTGCTGTTGTCCTGCGTAGTTTGCTTCCTGAGGCGACCTCTCTGAATAATAAACAAAACAAAATGAAAGAGAAAATGGTGTCAAGAGTTAAAGTATTATAATTAGTTACTTAAATCTCTATTAACTATGCTTAAGATGGTAAGTGGTGGAGCTTGGTCGAATCAAATGTAATCCTTTGGTATTACTTATATTAAAACATAAAAGAAAAAAGAAAATGGAACTTCGGATACCGGGTGGCCACAGCCTAGAGGAGCTGATAAACACTGGTATTAGGTGATCCGGTACCTTCAATGTCGTTTACCCGGCGGGGCTGACCATAGGTGAGGCACCGCCTCAGCGTTTCCTGAGTAAGGGCCCTGGTTTCCAGGCGTCCTCAGCCGGAAGCAATTTGTAGAGGGTAATGTTGGTAGATGCTAGGAGTCCTCGGAGCACCAGAGGTAGCAGCAGCCAGTACAAATAGGTAGGTAATTAGGTTTAAATGGTATGGGTATGCGGTAGGTATGTAGTAACGGTATGCGGTATGTATGTAGTAACGGTATGCGGGAGCACTACATCAGAGGAAGTAAAAATAAAAATCCCTTTCGGGTTTTTCCTGGTGATATCTGGTATCTAGGGCGGGTGACGCCTCAGCATCCGAGCCGATGCATTTCTGGAGGTCCTCCCCAGATCATCGGGACCGAACGTCCACTGTATCCACTCTTCGAAAAAGAAAAGAAAGCTCCTAGCCGTCTTCGCGCCGGCAAGAGTTCATCTCACCTATCTCATAGGGTTGGAATGAACGGTGTGATCCGTTGATTGAATCGATTATTGACATCGACTAATCGATTTACCCGTATTTATATACACGAAATCGCACTCGATAAAATATCATAAATAAAATGGAATCGTCCTTTTAAAAATACGACGTCACACTAATTAATCAACTACTTAATAGATAGACATCGCTGATACATTCAAGTAACGCTTATCTTTTTATCAGTTAAGTACGTACTTGCATATCGCACCTTCAACAATTCTTTGTTTTGTCTGTTTGGTTTGTCTGATGCAACAAGTGGTAACCTTTTTTATACAAGTTAATTTTCTTAAACAAATACAATGACTTGGAAATATCACACGGCAATTCAACAAAATGCCCTTGTTATTAGCTATCCTAGGGTTTTATTTGCACTTGTGTCTGCAAGCTGGGGGGCTTATCTCGGGTTCGATTCCCGAGTCAGACCAAATGTTTATCTGATCTGCAAATATTTGTTTTGGAGTTTGGGTGTTTTCTATGTATAATATGTATGTATATACACAAAAGGTATTTAAGTATTCTATCAGTTAATCTAGCTTTCATAGTACAAGCTTTGATTAGTTTGAAGCTAGATGGCGTTGTGTGTCAGATGTCTGAAAATATTATTAAGAAAAAAAAAAATGTGTGTAAGTTGAAGTAATTCATGCCAAAACCAAAACTTGCACCTGCCCGAAAACTCGCCAGTTTCCTGGTGGTGGATATTTACGAGTGTCAAACATGTTAAGTAAGGAAGTGTCACTATAGACGTAGCATGACTAACGTTACTAGGTCACGCGGTCATTTTCTAAGCTGAGCTAACACGATTATGTCTATTACTCAATTAAACATCGATCCTACAATAATCCCAAGAGATGCGAGAAGCCTAAGTTAAGTAAATAGACGTACAAACAAGTGTTTTGGTTTTGTGTTCTGGTGATGTCGACATTATTTCAGTTGTTAATGGTGTGCAATACGATGTCACTGTTTGCCTGAAAGCGTCTACTCTCTCTCTCTCTCTCTTAGGATGGTTGGCATCAGCAAGGGCAAGAAACTTATGACATTAATCAAATATTTTGGCAGGCAAACAGTAGTTTCAATATTTTTTAAATAAAACAGCTCTTATTTTTCCTTACATATTTATGACTGCTTACAAAAAATTAAACAATACTCGGGCATTTCTAAAATTCACAAATAAATACTTACTATTAAAAAGTCACATCAGACATCGGCGCTTGTCTCTATCTTTGCAAATGGTATCAACTAATATATATATATATATATATATATATATACCTCCACTAAATTACTTTAACTATATAATTCATTCCTGACCCATGATACAAATGGTTTTATTTTGTAGCCGTAGCCTATTTTTATTGTTGTCAAGTGATGAGACTAAGAAGGAGGTCTAACGAACTCGGGGACCCTTATCCTACAGAAACTGAGCCGAGCGTCAACGATTCTTCTACCGTATTTGTACAGCGTGCGTGTTGTGTAGGTACACCATACCAAGGGCAAAGTAAAAAAATACTGAGTGAAATAAGCAATTTAAATTTGTTGTAGTGAAATGTTACTATGGTGTAGTATATTTACATAAGAACACGCTTTGCCTTCCATGCAACAAACTAAATAGATTTGGCTTATACCTATGACTTTACTAACAAATAGTCGATAAAATATTTAAACAATTTTAAACTTTAAGTACCAACATAAATAATTAAATATCTGAAAAAGTAATATGTAGGCATATAGCATTCGTTTATCAGATCATTCATTATGAGTTGCGAGTCAAACCCCTTCAAGTTTTATGATACATAGTACAAAGTGAGCCATCATGGTTCACATTGATACTCTACACATATTCAAAGAGGACTCGAGCACGAACGAGGAATAGACAGTGTGGTCGGTACTAAAAACTTTCCACTATAAAGAAATATTACATTATATCTACATTTGTAAAATTATTAAACAGATTGTAATTATTATTTAAATTAATTACTTACCAACTAACTTGGGTGCTACTCACAATAAAGGTGGACACGATTTCTTGTTACCTTTGATGTAGCAGTACACACACGCGAGTGTGTGCTACCCTTTATACATTTTCTATCAGAGACCCATATGTCTGGCCAGAATTACACTAACATAAGAGACACTAGCTCGCCAAAACTAAACCCTGGTGCCTGGTTTTAGTTTTGGCAAGTTAGTGTGTGTTTGTGTTTAACAGTTAAATGAAGGTTATTTGTCTGCCTTCCCTGCACGAAGTACAAAAGTGAGATCGGTTTGTGTAACACATGAATATTACAATATACAACTACACAATATATCTCATTATAAAGTAAAACTGTAACCGAGTTAGAAACTGGTGGCTCACTTCATATACAGATGTTTGTCGTGATTTACTCACATCGCGCATGTACTTCGAAGATCGTCCACCTAGTTGAAAGTAGAGAAGGTCATGTCATGCCATCTCTCACGGTCAAGGAATACGTGATTTTCTAGCTTAACACAAGTCTGCGTATATTAAACCTTAACTTACCAATAAACGTATAAAAGATTTGTAAATAATTTAGTAGTTGACATTTACAACGAAGTTATTACCGGTACCGGTAAATATTGGTGAACCTCGTTCCCTATAAATAATCTTAACACGAATATCACACGAAAATGAGCATCAAGCCCATGCTTATCAATCAACTTATCGATTTTTATACAATTTGCCTTACTGATGGTTCATTTAAGTTTTTAATGTCCGTAGGTTATGTTAATATACTAATTACAGAGAGCCTTATCCGCGTGCTACTACTGCTTCACTTGCGTGACACTGACACTGACAGTTTGTGCATTCACAGGCGCCTGATCCTCGGACAGCTGGTTGTCGATCTTCTCGGCGTCGGCGATGTCATCCGGCAACACCGCCTTGCTGGTGTCCGGCAGCAGTAGCGCCAACAGTGCTGCTCCTATCGCCACTATGCCAAACACCATGCTCGTTAGTCCTGAAAAGTATTTTTCCTGAAACAAAATAAACATAAGTTGATAACTATCCACATCTGTTTCGCCGAAGCAGTATAATATTGCCGTTCGAATAGTTTTCGTTGTAGTGTTGATAGAGTCACACAGAAAGAACTATTCAATTTACAAAATAAAACTTTTATGAAATACGAGTAGTAGCCAAATACTTCCGACATCATAAGTTTTAAAATATAAAATAAGACGTAATGACTTTACCAGTAAAGGCGCCTGCGGTGCGAGCACGGCGCCGAGCCTGCCCACAGTATTAGCGATGTTGGTGAGAGAGTTGCGAGACTTGGTGGGGAACACCTCCATGGCGACTACATACATGCTGAACATGCCGTAGCTACTGCACATCTTGCCGGCCAAGTAGAACAGCACGGACGCCCACCACACAGCTGGGGAAAAGTCCCATTATCATTCCAATATTATTATGAGCAAGAGTGGATTAGCTCATATTCGAAATTTCCAACTTACCCTTAGATACAAAAGCTGACGCAAAAAAGAACACGCAGCACAATACGTAGGCGACACAAATGGGTGCCTTTCTGCCAAACCGTGTCAACGTGAAGGCAGTGATGATGCGGGTGGGCACTGACACCAGCAGCAAAGCCGAGAAATTTAGGTATTTGTTTCCCGACACACTCGTAGAGTTGATGATAATGCCGTTGTACACGAACGTGCTGCAGATGAAGCAACAAGCAATCAACGCAACCCTCAGCAGGATCGTGCGCGACCGCAACACCGACAGCAGGTGGAGTCGCTCCGGCGGCTGCTCGCCTTCCTACAAATTTAGTTTATATATGATATACTTTTAACTTAAAATAGTGCATTTCTGTAGTTATACAATTGTAGTAGTAGTTATACAACTGATAAAAGAAAAGTCAATCCATTTATGATGAAGTAATATTTAGTAGCTAACTGAACATCATAAGCATTGATTGATATGATAATAAACCTGAGCGAAGCGTATTTATATGTGCTATTTTAAGAGAACGAAAATTATTTCAAAACACTTGTCCAAAAGTGGAAAAATTCCTACAGTGATGAATCAAGCATTTTCAACTAATGGTTTAAAATAAATAAACAATAACTCAAACACAATAACAAAAACGTACATTATATAGGATGCATGAGAACAAGCCAGCTTTGCCAGCCTGACAACACCCAACTAAACTCTTAACTGGTATTAAGACCATTTGTTGCTTAAATTTTTCTTCACAAATTCACTTTTTTTATATGCTATTATCTATTTAATTTGGTCCGTATTAGTATTGTCTAGAAACCAAATCATCTATACAAAGAGTGAATATCACCATATATGTAGTTATTACCTGATCACCCCTATTTTTCACTGTAGTTATGTTGGAGAGCATTACTTTCGCTTTGTTAGAAAGCTCGATATTATTAATCTTGGCCACTTTGTTCAACACCCTGACAGCTTCGTCGTTCTTGTTGTGGGCCAGAAGCCACCTGACTCCTTCGTCCACGAGGAATATATAAAACACGACGACGAGTAAAGGCGTGTAAATGGCTCTCATCATGTGCCTCCAGTAGGGGACCTTCCAAGCAATGAGCCCGAAAAAGGCGCTGCCAAAACTTGACAAAATGTCCGATATGCACGAAAACATCACTCGACGCTTTTGACTCACGAGCTCTAGCGCTGAAACCAACCACATTCTCACTATAATTACATTTAATTTTACATTAAATGGTTTCTTTGGTAACGCATTATTGATAGATTAGTACTAGATTAGTCAGCAATTTACATAGGAAATTTAAACTAGCTTCGGCAATATTCCTTACTTACTCCGTACTCGTATATACGAGCACATATACGTGCGAGACATATATTTCACGCCTTACTCGTTTCCAATCATAGCAGGTTTAACCGAATTCATCTATCATGTAGGACTTATGCTACTACACATGTACAAGCAGGTTGTCTCTGTTGCGCTACTGTTACATTTACTTACAAAGGACCATTGAGGCATTCCCGTAGCCCAGCGCCGTCTCGAGGAACTCCAGCACCAAGAGCATGTAGTAGTTGACCGAGAAGGACTTGATCAGACCGGCGATGCCGACGACTAGCGGCGTGCACACGATCACCACCTTGCGTCCGTATCTACATCACACACAATGTTCATATTTATAATCGTTGAGCCTTTCACATTACTTTACATCAAATATTTACTTGGGTTTTGCAAAACAATGATAACAATGTCTAATTTAAGTGTCAAGTCAAGTAACGAATTCAAGTCAAATTCATTGGTTACACAAAAATCCGATTTTCTTCTAATTAATTTCATTGCGGGTTCCAAGAGTGTTGAGTGTTGAGTGAATGTTTCCTGGGGTTTCCCGAGTGCCATAACTCGGTGTGTTCGTAAGTGACTTCTGCTGATCCAGGTGTACAGGAGTTGCAGTGGTAGGCGTGTGGGAAGGATTAGTCCCTTATCTCTATGGTAGACATTCATTGTTACATGAATAATGAACCGATTAGTTAAAAAAAAATAGTAAAAAAACTAGAAAAGCAGTTTGTAGTAAAAGAAAAGGTTATTTTCTATAAGTTCAAAAAGAACAATCATTTTATCGTAAAAAAGTGTGGTGTGCTAGATCTCAAGTCCTGTCAAAATATTTTACTGATAGATATTGGTAAAAGTAAAGACATTATATTCTTAAATACCTAGAAAAGTAGCCCACGCTTTTTTCTTTTGGACATAGAAAATTATTTCCTTCTTTTTAGTTCGGCTAACTTTTTTAATTTTTTTAAACTATAATCTATTTTTCAATTTATTCAGTAACTATAATTTGTGTAATATAATAGTTATTGGTACATATTTAAATAGTTTCGAGCTAATAACGTTAAATATGTATATTACTCACTTGTCCGATACAAGTCCAGAAATCACGAAGGAGAAGACGAGGCCCAAGTTGTGCACAGTGCCAATCAGCGTCCGTTTCCAGGGTTGACATCCCAGGTCGAACTAGCGGTGGAACACATAACATTACTCAATACCTTCACAGTACTTGACATTTGTTCATATTGTCACCAAGTAGGAGATAGTGGACAATCTGATTTAAAAAGAACTCGTTATAATTGACATGTTATAACGAGTTTAATAGATCTTGCTTTTCGCAATTTAAGACATTTAGAAAAAAGAAATGCTATTGCGTAGACATTTATTTCAAGTGAAACTTACAAATTAATGCATTACTACGTCATCAGTGCATAAATGAAGGAACCTCCGTTCCCTTAGGAGGATCCTCCGAACAGGCGAGGTGATCATGCCTAGCGGACCACGGCCCAACGGTTAATGTTGAAAAATTGTAAATATGCTAATAGGCTGAGAACTTTTTGATGCCGTAATACAGGATTAGCAGTTTGACTAGCCTATTGGTCTAGTGGTTAATGACCCTGACTGCTACGCCAGAGGTCGTGGGTTCGATTTCCACCCAGGACAAATGATTGTATGATGAGCACGGTCATTTGGTCTGTGTCTGGGCGTAAACATAAATATTATAGATAAAGTACGTTATCTATAATATGAGTGTTTTTAGAAATATCTAAGTACGTTTATCAGCTGTCTGGTTACTACAGTACAGGGTCTGCCTAGTTTGGGATCAGACGGCCGTGTGTGAGATGTGTGAAAATATTATTATTATTATACACGTACTAGTTCGGTGTGTCTTCGGTAGATGGCACTGGAGTACGTATGTTGCTGTTTCTTTGTATGTCTAAGTCACCACAGTTTAATATAAAACAATCTGTGGTATGGCCGACTGAAAAACACACCGCGTGACCTAGACCTTTCGCTAGCACAGTGACCGGCACACGTAAACATACCGACAGATAGTTAAGTACATAATATATCGAGTATTGTTTCCTTGTAAGATGTAGCATATTCAGTAACAGCTGGAGCTATGAGCTAATGCATTTGTGAAATTCACGTACATGTCTCCATCAATGACGGCTCTGAACGCTTGTTAAGTAGACCCATTAGTCAGTGTCGTCTAAAACTAAAAATTACTTCTGAATATTTATTCCAAACTAATTTTTAGTTCTACGCAAAAGCATTGTTGTGGATCCCGTAACTGACTCTGACTCTAAACATATTGCAATTTGAAAAATAATGTGTTAGATATAGGTATCAAAAAATTATCTAGTTTTTAAATATCGAACAAATTTTGGTTTAAATAGCTTCAATAATTGTGCATAGTACTTAGAATGCAAATGTACGAGGAAGTATAGCTTCACATAGCACCGGCGCGGGCGCAACAATAATAAATCCTTGTGCTCTCCACTGTATTCTGTACAGAATGCAACGTGCCGCATCACATCAAAGGATAGTTGTAAAACATAATACAAATAAGGAGTAGGAATATATTAACAAACAAGATTACTAAAGTATGGTGATATTGACTGCACGGATGGCGTAGTGGTTTAAGCGGTCGCCACGCCGCTTCCTACTACGCCGAGTGTTGTGGGTTCAAACCCCACATGGGACGACACTTTGTGTGATCCACAAATTGTTGTTCTGAGTCTGGGTGTTCTTTGTATCCGTTTCATGTATGTTTGTAAAGTCCCCAGCGACACAGGATTTATTCCTATTGCGGGCGTTGTCTTTTTAAAAAGAACAAAAGAACAAAGAATTGATAATGACTAAGCGACGCGAACCCATCCGATAGCTCTAGAACACTTGTAGCTCGCGCTCCTCTCAGCCTACTCTCGTATAGAGCACGTACTTGTGCAATGAGTCTGGTGAGCACTTTGAAAACAATGATACTCACTTCGGCTACGATACTATTGTAATTTTCATAGATAACTTCATCACAAGCCATCGTATTGTTGAAAGCGAAGTCCTCGGGAGTGCACACAGCTCGGCCCATGTGTTCTGTGGAGTTCACGCTGGCTACGAGAGGTGTGACCCTGTAGCACGTGTTGGAAGTGTTGAGCAGCCCGTACGCTGTCCACGATGCGTTGAAACTAGAATCTGTGGACTCGCACTCTGGCACCTTGCACCTGAAATATCAACATATTTTGGTGGCTGCTTACGTACGAGTACACACTACATCGTGGTATCGACATTAAAACTGTACCTGTCTCCCTTCCTGACAAGCAAGTTCGTGTATTTTGAGCGCCAACGAAATAAACAAAATGACTCTTCAAGGGCCGTTCGGATATTTATATTATCAGATCATACTAGTATTACATTGATAGCCACGGAATATGAAATGGCCAAACCCTCCTTTCTAAGGAAAGGCCTCTGTCCTACTGAATACTGACTAATAAAGGCTGTCGATGTGTGATGTGAAATTAAATGATGATTATGAACCAGATACTCCATTAGATCACAGTTATGACCATCGTACTGCGATCTAAATATATTTTATATGTGCTATATACATATACATACATCATACATTAAACAGAAATTGCCGCAAGCAAATCTATAAACACTTGCCTGCTACTTCAAATATTTATATTTTTTAACTGTTTTATGATGTGCATACGCAATCCTTTTAATGGTTTCGCTGTTAATGGTTAAATTATATCATATAATCGTTTAGATATGGCACCAGTGCCTACTTAATATCCGTGGAAAACAAATTTAAATGTGTTTTGGTATCGAACAATAAAAGGCTGGTCAATCAATAATAAAGTTTCACAAACACAATAACATTATGGTGTGTGTGTATGTTGTTGACGGCCACTCAAGGCTTATGTTTGTCGTTGCTCCTTCGAGCGCTTCCTGCTCACGGCACGTTTGTATCGACTACAATAACGGATGCGCTACGCACTAAACAAAACAACTCACACCCGTTCATACTGTACTGCTACACCGTACCTACGTGTATTTGTTAAAAACAAACGATTAGCAGTTT